TCCGATAGAAGTAATCTACCGGGGATATTAACGAAACAATAAATACCCTTGTCTTTATATCGACTATGAAATAAAAAGTATTGGAACAGTTTTGATACCGCGGACGAGTGAGAATGTGGATGAATATTATCAAGCTATTCTCACGGAGTCTACGGAATTATCGAACGTTAACTCATATCGCTAATTTTCACTGTAAGAACGTGTGTATTCGCGTGTGTGTACTTGCGCGTTATTATTTTCTTTACGTCCGAATCAACAAGCTTCAAATCCCAAATGACCGGTAAGTGGATATTGAATTAATCTCTCGTGATCCGAGCATATCCCTCGAATCAAAGCTGGTTCTCAGCGTTTTATGAATTAATAATCGCCAGAAGACGCGAATTGCCTCTCGTCCGAACTGCGACCAGGATTTATACGTATAATCGATTAACCCTTTGCAGTATTTTTCCAAGTATTCAAAACCTTCGCCAGAAGGCGCTGAATTATATATTAATCCCTTAAAAACTACAATAAGAGGAAAATACGTATCCATCTTTTATTGTTTCAATAACGAAATTATCTCCTCTCAAATTTCCATTCTACGCGTGCAATCTCAACATCGTCGATATACATTCATCAAATCGTTATATATTTATCCCTTACAACAACCAAAGCTACATTTATCCGAATCGAATTATAACAACATTTTTACATCAACTCTTCATTCTCAAATCAAAGATCGATATACAAGTGCCCAAACAATTCAAAGCAATTTTACCAAATTTTTCAAAGGAAAGAACAGAATTACGTAGAAGGCTCGGAAATGGCTCGGCTGTTAATGTAAGGACGAACCGGGAAAGCCCGAGGGAAAAAATGCGCAGTACACACGACGGTGTTCTCCGCACACCGTGACTTCTTATTCTATCCGCGTAGAACGCGAGTAAGTAAGTAGTCGATCAATGGCTCTCCCTTGTCCGCGTTCGGGACCACGAGCCGGGGCCCGATAGCCAGCCAGGTCCCCGGAGAGCTGTTGACATCCAAGTGCGCTCGGTGCGCTATGTTCGCCGCTTCTCGTATTTTATACAAACGTTTCTCCTTTCACAGGCCGTCCTACCCCCGTACGCGAAAGAGAAAAGGAATCTCGACGGAGCACCGGCCGAGAGATCTCGCTGACAGACTTCTCCCGTGGGTTCTTAAAGGACTTCCGGAAGTCGGCGGCCGGTATGCCAACAATGCCGAGATGCATGCCGCCAGTTTTTGTTTTGTGCAAATGAACCTATCAACGTCGACGCTGCTGCGCAACTTTGTTCCGACGTCGGTGCAGCTGGAACTTTAACTTGGTAATCCTGTGTACTAGTTTTTATTCGAGTTCGGGGCCATGGGGATTCTATTGCAGAGTGTAGAAAAGGTCTCTTCTTGCTGGACGTTCATGCAAGGATTATGAAAGATTGATGGCTCGCTTTATTTCTTTAATTTCACGTCTCCTTGTTGATCGCGCGCTTTAACGACTCTATGATAGTCCGTACAATTTCTGGATATTTCATTGCGCAATTAGCTAGTTCTAACTAGATTCTATTAAATCTACTAATTCAATAGATCCAAGGGAACTACAAGAAAAACAGTACATAAGAAACGTAACCAAATTGCTCAAGATTAGCAAAACTAACCCAAGAACCAAATACAATATTTATTCTTCACTCTATCCACTGTCCGAACAATCCTTCATCCCAATAATCAAATACAATTCCATCAGAATTTCATTCCTCGCCGTTATCTCAACGAAATATCATCGATCAGCCTGAAACACGTAGGTCCGTTCGATCGACGATCGCTCCAGTTTCTCCGGCGAAGCGTTCGAGCGTTCACCGTCGATCTCTCGAACCCTAACCGGTAACCCCGCGCGCCCGGCGATATTTCACTCGGCGAGAGGCCGGGAGCGGGCAAAATCGTCCCGCGCGCGTACGCGAGCGTTGCCCAACTCATGCATAGAGTCATGACGGGTCTAAGCGATTGCTTATTGCCCGGGTGGTGCAACCAGTCGCCGCGGACTGACGCATTGGTCCGAGTCTCGCCCGTTTGTTATCCCGGATAGCCTAGCGGTCTACACGGTTGCCCGGAGTACGTGAGCGCGACGCGGTACGTCCGCCGCGCGCGCGCCGCGAATGCGATCCGCGTATTCGGTCCATGTACGTGCGCGAACTGCTCTCGCTTAAGGGCACCTTTACACCGCTGCGAGCGGTGGCGCGCTGTAACGAGCGGCTGACTGGAAAGGGATGATTTTAACGAAGCAGCAAGATGCGGCAGACGTTTTTCCGCTCGAGCGGTGGTTGTTGTTATCATCTGCAACGCGGAATCGTCGTTCAACCCTTTGCGGACGAAGATTGTTCGAACCTTTCGCAGATTCCGCTAAATTTCATGTCGAACGCTTAGATCGTAGGGAACAACGAAACCACGTACTGACTTGTTGCTCTTCGAATAGGTAAATCCTTTGTTTGCAACTTGGTATTCCAAACATGAATATGTTTCATCTTAAAATGTTGACATTCGTCCGAAAAGGGTTAAGCGTGGCAACTGGAGTAGAGGATGTTCTTCGAAGTCGATATTGTACTTGATTCTGAGCTTTGAATGTATTTGATTAGATTGATTTGAGAATGTATAGGGGTTGAGTGATATGTTTATTATTTGTTTTATTGAACATTTATTAATATTAGAATTGGGAGTTAGTGATTTGGAAATAAATCCTAGGCTGCCTTCTTAAAAAATGAAGGCAACTTATATTCTCTTATTATTCAATCTGAGAAATTAACGATTTTCATTTGGTCGATGTAAATTAGTCGACGACGTTTTTGTTTGTACTAGAATGTTCTTTTATCTGAATCTCTCTGAGAAAATTCGTGTGAAATATATTGTAATGAGCACACCGTTAGTTGTCAACGTGATTGTAACGGATAAATATAACCCTCGCTTGTACCGTTTTCATCGCGTTAATGCGTCAAGACGTACGGTACAACCCCGGCGCGCGGCGGTGTAAACGTACCCTAATAGGATCACGGTCCGCTGGTCGACAAATCGATCTACGGCGGCCGGAGCAGTGATTTTTCAGGGTGTACCAGTTTTTTCGAGCAATACCTACCGCGCGCGGAACGAGGCCCCTTATGCGGCCCACGTCCCGTATACATTACGCGCGAAATGAATGATTCGATATATGGGCCGTGATACGGTGAACGATGGGCGGCAATAAAACGCGGGCACGATGAGTTTAGAGCACTGTAAAACTCGGTAGCATGGCACGGAACGATCGCACGGCGCAATTTAAGGTTCCTTCGAACCGATGCAATCCATTCGCAGTAATAAAATAAACACGGCTTATACGCGACTGTTCGCACGGCAACGAAAAGTTTCCGCTGACATTTGTTGCCAGATTCAGAATTTTTCAGCCATTATACCCGGATTTTTGTGCAATAGAAATTTATACAATACAAATTTCGTTGTATAGTTTTGTTGAATATTATTGTGTAATATTTATGGTTTACGACTTATCAGGAGTTTATTTGAGCTGCCCGACTACCTCTCCTACAGAGATATTTTTACAGTTTCTTCGATCGTAAAATATGGGAAGCTGAAGTAAGTGTTTTTGATCTGTTCGATAACTTCAGTTAAGCTAGATTACTATCTTTGTTATAGTTTTAGTTTCTTTTTTTATTGGGATTAAAATAAATGTTTCAAATCCGTTTGCTTCTGTGTTATTCGTGATATATTTGTTGTATTACGTGAATATTTCTTGCTGGAACCTTCGGGAGTGTTTCGTTTTGGGATCCTCTCCTCCGGAATTCGACGATGATCCGGCTGGTTCGGCCTCTCGCCATCTTACGTAAAGTTATTATCGCGCCGCGAATAATGCCACGCTCGATTAGCATCGGTAATCGTCATCGCGCGGGGGGACTCGTCACGTGGATTTCCACGGAGGGGAATCGGGAGGAGATGAACCGTTCACGCGCGATACGGATGTGTAAAGAACGTTCGACCCGTCAAGGTTAGCCGTGTGGGCTAATCTGGTGCCACAGTTACGGATCTCGGCGATCCAACGATGATCTTGCGTTTCCTGTTGCGATTTATTAGCGCGTGGACTAATGAAATGACGCCCATAAATATTGCACAGTATCAAAATGTAGCATATACCGAATAAAACTGAAAAGCCTTGTAGATCTTCATTAAATTCTTGGTTCGTTTGATGATATAGAATCTTTTCAGTCTACAATTTGATTCGAAAGACCGAGTAATTAGAAATAAAATGTCGCATTGCTTCATAAGTATGTTTCTCTTGTAGATTAGCAAATTATATTTCTTTTATATAACAAACGATGGAGATATCCAAAATACCTTCATTACCTGTTCTCCAATTCTGAAAATCGCCTTACCTCTCGAAGAGTGATATCAGACTGAGCATCATCCGAATAAAGGAGGAGGATTTCAAAAGAACTGACACAAAGGCGTATAGATTAAACAAAAATATTTAATTCCGCGTTACGTGGTAGGTACTGGCCGCTTGGGTTCACCGCTTACACTCTATTATGTACAAAACGAGAAGAAAGAAAGAAATACAGTGTCGAAACACAGAAGAAGAAGAAGAAGAAGATATTCGCCGATAGAAGAGAGAAAACATCGATCAAAGAAGAAAGGTAGAAACAACCGAAAGGAAAGAATCGAGAGAGAGAAACCGAACGTACGTTCGCCTGTCAACGCCAGCCGAGAGGTCGCGCACCAAGCGGAAGTACAAGAAAGCATTAATCCGATTCGTGGACGGAATCCCCTGTCCCCCCATTCTCGCGTATTTACAAGACGCATGATTGTTT